TATATTTGTTGCTTCATCTGGCAGAATAATTATGTTATGGCAAGGAATTATAATACATGCAGTCACTCAACCAAATACATATATACAATATTAATACAGTGTGACCCAATACATGTATACAAAGTTAATACAGTGTGACCCAAATACATGTATACAATATTAATACAGTGTGACCCAAATACATGTATACAATATTAGTATAGTGTGACCCAAATACATATATACAATATTAGTATAGTGTGACCCAAATACATGTATTCAACATTAATACAGTGTAACCCAAATACATGTACACAACATTAATACAGTGTGACCCAAATACATGTATACAATATTAATACAATGTGACCCAAATAAATGTATACAATATTAATATAGTGTGACCCAAATAAATATACACAACATTAATAAAGTGTGACCCAAATACATGTATACAATATTAATACAGTGTGACCCAAATACATATATACAACATTAATATAGTGTGACCCAAATACATATACACAACATTAATACAGTGTGACCCAAATACATAGTCACAACATTAATACAGTATGACCCAAATACATGTATACAACATCAATACAATGTGACCCAAACATATGTATACACAACATTAATATAGTGTGACAAAAATACTTACATACAACATTAATACAATGTGACCCAACTACATATACACAACATTAATATAGTGTGACCCAAATACATATACACAACATTAATACAATGTGACCAAAGTACATATATACACAACATTAATAAAGTGTGACCCAAATACATAGTCCCAACATTAATATAGTGGGACCCAAATACATAGTCACAGCATTTTTAATCTACTTAAAGCTAAGTAATAGACTTATGTATCTAAATTGGTTATCGTACATATTTCTAATATTACTAAATAATATCGTCTCAAGCATTATTTTTGCATTTAGCTATTAGACTTGGACTTTAACAATATTGTTAAATGTTATCGATTTTAACTTACTAAATTAAAATGCATTTAATTTCTCATGCTATTTGGAACCTTTAAAAAAACATTGAATACTATTTTATTTCAAATTAAAACTATTTTTCTTACCTTTGTTCTCTAAATTGTTTGAATATACAGAACTCGTGGAGCCTGAAATGAAAAATTGCATAATTATGTTTATGAATGCATAAAATGCATATTTACAAATACAAGAATATGGAGGTTCGGAGCTAATTTAAAGAGTGTTGCATGCAAATTATATAAAGGGATTGAGATAAATTGAATCTAATATTTAAGAGATTGAATAAAATAATTTTTTAACTAGCTGGAGTGCCCGGCGTTGCCCAGGTATATATCCCTATTCAGTATTCTTAGTGCCTGGCGTTGCCCAGGTTTATATCCCTATTCAGTATTCTTAGTGCCTGGCGTTGTCCAGGTTTATATCCATATTCAGTAGTCTTAATGCCTGGCGTTGCCAATGGAATTTCAAAAAAATTCCAAAATGTTTTTTAGCTCAAGTCATCCCTTGGGTACCCATGGATTTCCTCAAAAATGTTCAGTCAATTTGGTCATGATGACATTAAGCTAGCTTTAGGAAACATCTACATATATTGTACATATAAATTATATAAACAGCTTTATTATAAAGATTGTTTAATAGTTTTTCTGTGGAAGTGTCCCCCCCCCCTGCTCCCTCTTTTATAGAAGTAAAGTAAGCGCTAACAACCTGAATGTTTTATGTTCGATGTCTTTTCTTTCCTAACTTTTCTACTTATCCTGCTCTATTGAAGTGTCAACACCAAGAATGTTCTCCTGGACTGAGCACTACTCAACACAAAATTATTTTCTTCAATAAAGGGTTGCATTGAAGACAATTATTTACAACTACTTTAAAGGGGAGTTAAAAAAACGTTAACTTACTTAGACCAATTTTGTCAAAAAAAACATCAAGAACCTTGCGGATTTTTTTTTTGTGGGCAACTTTGGTCGATGTCACCCGAATCGTGCATTAAAATTTTAAACTTTTTGAGAAAAAACTGTGGGGGTGTTAGCATCAATTAGTTTGTTGATATAACATTCTCCAAAAGTTAATAACTGGGTGAATCTTGAATTGGTATGGTCTTTTGTTATTTTTTAAAAGAAAAAGTAGACTTTTTTCAAGATTGGGGTCAAGGGATAAAAGTTGGACATAATACTTTTAGCCCAAAACAATCGAAAACAAACAAAAAAAAATATTTTTACGAATGGTGGTGGTGGTGATGTTCAACAACAAAATACCCCTTTGGGTATCATCCAATATAAACAAAGAGTCAAGATTGAAGAATAGTTATAATAAGGACAATAATAGAGAAAAATAAAACTGAACTGGAAAAGCATAAGGAGGAATTAAATTATAGATAAAGGATATGAGGAAATATAATAAATGTGTTGACAACCCCTCTTCTTTCCTTACTCCCTTTCTTTTTCTTGTCTTGTCTTGTCTAAGCATTCTGTGTCTTGTTATGTCTTTCCATGTCTTTTCATGTTTTTTCATGTTTTCCCATGTCTTTTCATGTCTTGTTATGTCTTATTATGTCTTTTCGCGTCTTTTCATGTCTTTTCATGTCTTGTTATGTCTTGCATTTGCTTTTACAAGCTGTTTTTTTCTATTTTATTCTGTTTTTTTCTGTTCTATTCTGTTCTTTACTGTTATTTTCTGTTCTATTTTATTCTGTTCAATTATTTTGTTTTATTCTGTTCTTATTATGTTCTTTTTCTGTTCTTTTCTGTTTATTTCTGTTGAATTCTTTTCTGTTCTGTTCTATTCTGTTATATTCTATTCTATTCTTTCTTTTTTCTAAAATTGTTGTTAAAATAATATTTGAGATCTGAGTGTGATAAAGGAAAATAGAGTAAAAGACTGAAACCTTTCAGAGAAAGAATGTAATTTTCTATTGTAGAGCCATAAAATAACCATTAGTGGAGATGGAAGGTTACCCCTTTACCATACATAAAGGATATTTAGAATTCTGTATTTATTCTCTGCTAGGGGGACATGGATCATAAAATGATTTGATGAATACTGTGCTGTAATCTACTGTACTCTACTGTACTCTACTGTACTCTACTGTACTCTACTGTATACTCTACTGTTCTCTACTGTACTCTACTGTACTCTACTGTACAATGTAAACGAATAATACTGGAAAAATATGAGTGGTGAATTCACTAATTTAAAATGCTCGATAGAGTGATTTGCCAATTAAACTTAATCAGCTGACTCCCACCCGTCTACTGTTTAACCTTATCAGCTGTATTCAAATATCTTTGTTTAAATTATAGAAAAGCGTAACAACTAATTTTCCTTGAATATTTAAGATTAACTAGATAAATATATTGTATTTTTTAATTTGGTTTTAATGATGATTAAAACCTCGTATTGTAAATAAAGTAGGTGTTTGTTGAACATTTTTTAAAAAATTTAGTTTGGTCTGGGTTGACCATCATCAGTTCTTGAGATTGTTTCTGTCATGAAGATTAAAACAAGAAATACTCATTTCACCCAGTCTAAGGATATTTTTTATGTTTTTCATTGCCCCCTCCTCCCCGAAAAAAAAATCTTTAAAAAACCATCTCCCACCAGGTGAGGATTAGTCTTAAAAATATATACCCTCAATTAATATTGACAAATTCATTATGCTCACCCATTTCAGGGAATGCCAGTGATTTAGCAATACTAGAGCTAAACGGTCTTCCATCCACAAAGTATGTTGTGGTAATTATTGACATTGTAATTCTATCTGTGCAAAGGAGTTACTTTTTCTAAATATTTCATTATTCAGCAAATTAAATCAAAATAACAAGGTGTTCCTCCAGAGCAACTGGGCAGTTTAAAAATAATCCTTGTCGGAAACCAAGTGTGGGTACAGACCATTAAAAATCACATTTAATATTTAATTTTAATGTTGTATACTTTTAAAATTTTACGATCCAACATTTCAGGCTTTATGCCACAGTTGTAAATAAAAAAGAACTGAGTAGAGAATAGTAAAAGAAAAAAGGGAAAGGATTTTATATATTTGCTCCTATTCCAATTTGTAAAACTGCCAGGTAAAGTGTTATATAAGAGAAATACACTTTAGTTTGCTTGATGTTAGTTGAAATCTCTCTGACTTCTGAATGAGTTACCACAATCTAAAGATATTCAAAACAAAAATATTATATATTTTAAATGCCAAAGCTTATCGTTCTGTTTTAAATAAAACTAGCTGGAGGGCCCGGCGTTGCCCGTGGAAAACAGAAATTTTGAAAAAAATGCATTTTTTGAAGAAAAAAAAATTCGATTTTTTAAAGTCTATAATAGCCCATTCGGTCCAGCCGTTTGGCCGGGTACACGCAACATATATATATGAATGTCTTGTTTTATTAAATAGATAAGATATCTTTTGATAACTTTTGAAAAAATCATATTAATATTAGTTTTATCAAAGAACTCACTTTCTTCTGAAAGATGCCAACTAAACCTTGATCAAAGGATTTTAAATCTTTTTCTTCATGTGTTTCAAAAGATGAGAATATTTTCCCAGAAGAAGAATTAAAAATGAAATAAAAATGAAATTTAGAAAAGAAAAGATTAAGATTCTAAAACTGGTCACTGTAGTGATGAGAAAATGTATCAAACCAACAAGAAATTTTTTTTCTTCTTATCGTGCTCGTATATTCTAACATATTGGAAAAATGATTTTTGTTAGCTCTGAATTCAGATGATTAGAATTTTAAGATTTTAATCCTGAGTATAAACTTCTTCACTTGAGAAAGATCTAAAATCTCAAGGAAGAAGCACCAGGAATAGTTATTTTACAAAAACGATTACTGACATTTCTGGAAGGGATGTTTACAAACACTGTACTGCTCAGTCTGTAAACAAAGATATTGTTGGTTTCTAGTGCATCTTCCTTAGATTAAATATCAAAAAACAAAAATACCATGCATGATATATCCATCCCAAGTTTAGTAGTTGCAATTATGTTTTCTCTAGAAAGTGACTTGTGCATTTCTGCGTCAGAAACATTGGAGGAGAAACTCAGAATTAAACAGTTATCAATCTAGAAAAACGACATCTTCCATGTATTTAATTGGCTGAAGGTTTAGGGTACCGTTGAAAATCGGACACGCATACACATTTAAAATTAAAACGATAGTCTCTTATGATCAAATTCTGAAGAAAAACATACACTATAGACTCCAATTGTGACACACCATGACCACTGGTCCTCATGCGAATCGACGTATTTCACAGTATTTGCGCTCTTTAATGTCCATCCTTATCACATAATTATTCAATTGCGTGTATTTATTCTGCATATTTAATACTGTCTGGTTGTGTGGTTGAAGTAAGTGTGTGGACGGTGACTGTTATATCTATTTATTAATGAATGTGTGTGTGTTTAATATTCAAAAGTCAATATCCTCAGAAATTCCAACTTTAGGTTTCACCAATCACCATTAAGCATAATAATGCAGTACACACCAAGCAAGCATGGTCTTTCCCAAGAAATATATAGACCAGGAACCGCCATATCTCTTGCGTCAAATCTGTGTACAGCAGTGGGAGGAGATCAAAACAAAGAATTCAGGGGCAACGTATCATTTTTGAGGGAAAAGGGCCCAAGGGGTGGAATAAGAATATATTGCTATTGTATTTCCATATTGACCAGAAAGCCAACAAAATAAGTATTCTCTCTAACTTGATATATTAACTTGTTTTTTGTTGGACCAGCTGTATTATCACATCAGAGTTTTAGTTCTTTACCTTCAACTTCTGTGGGGGCACTGGGTTTGTTTACATTCCTCCCACAGTGTAAAGTACATAAAATGCGTAAATCTGAGATGGGGGTTCCTGTATATAGTTCCTTGGTCTATCCTATTCTTTCAGTTCATACTATTTACTTTGCACAGCAGTATACAAGTTCATAACCAAAAAGTCACCAATTTTGTGTCTTTCCAATTTTCTCATTATTTCTTCCATTATAGTAAAATAATAATTGATAACGTGTTTTTCTAAATATTGCATTTACTCCCTTCCTTTTCCTTTTTAAGTTGGTATTCTGGTCTCTATTCATAGTAAGTTTAGGACAGTTCTAGTAACTTAGGACAGTTCATAATTTCCT